AAAAAAAAAAAAAAAAAAAAAAAAAAAAAAAAAGAAATTAGAGAGACCTCATACTAGCAACTTACAGCACAGCACACTTAAAAGCTCTAGAACAAAAAGAAATAAACACACCCAAGAGGAGTAGGTGGCAGGAAATAATCAAACTTGGGGCTGAAATCAATCAATTAGAAACAGAGAACAATGCAAAGAATCAAAGAAACAAAAAGTTGGTTCTTTGAGAAAATCAACAATACAAACAAACCCTTATCCAAGCTAACTACAAGGCAGAGAGAGAGAGACCGAACATCTAAAACCACAAAATCAGAAATGAAAAGGGGACATAACAACAGACACGGAGAAAACTCACAGAATCATTAAGTCATACTTCAAAAACCTATCCCACACAATATTGGAAAATCTAAAAGAAATGGACAAGTTTCTTAATAGATACCACTTACCAAAGTTAAACCAAGATCAGATAAACATCTTATACAGACCTATAACCCCTAAAGAAATAGAAGCAGTCATTAAAAGTCTCCAGAAAAAAAAAAAAAAAAGCCCAGGGCCAGATGGTTTTAGCACAGAATTCTACCAGACTTTCAAAAGAAGAGCTAGTACCAATACTCTTCAAATTATCCCAGAAAATAGAAACAGAAAAAAAAATTACCAAATTCATTTTTTGAGGTCTTACAATAGAGTATTAGTCAGTTTTTTTTTTTTAAATGACATCATGAGCTATTTCTCTTCTAGTCCTGACTTTCATTGCTCACCCCAAGCTTGGGAAGAGGATTCAAAGCTACACGGCCAAGAGTTGTAGCCTCTGCCAACCAAAACCCAAGGTTCAAACTAAGGCAGAGGCCACAGCTCCCATTCAGGCTCCCAGAGGTGCTCAGGCCTCTGTGAAGGCCTCATAGAACAGGCTCCTGCCAGTGTGAAGACAGATGGACTGCTGGATCACACCTACCTACACTATTTGCAGATGACCAGTGTCCTATGCTGTTTTTACAAATAAACTTGAGGCAAGATCTGTTTGTTTGTTTGTTTATTTGTTTGCTTGTTTTAAAAAGGACATGAGAAATCTTCAGGAAAATGAAGAACTAGAAAAATATCATCCTGAGTGAGGTGACCCAGACCCAGAAAAGCAAACATGATGTGTTCTCACTAGATGGAAAGGATAGCCAATCTACAATCCATAAACCCAGAGAAGTTAAGTAACAAGAAGGGATCAAAGGGGGACATGTGACTCTCACTGTGAAGTGGAAATAAAATAGATATCGTGGGTGGATTGGGGAGGGGTCTGGATGGAGGAGTAGGGTAGATATCACAGTGGACTGGGGCAGATGGGGAAGGGAACAGGAGGGATCAGGTGCAAGGAGGATACAGGGAAAGAATGCTAGGAGAGCCAACTGGAACTGGAGGTCATCTCTGGAACAATCTAAAAACCCAGTGCAAAAACCAAACAAACAAACCTCCTAGGAATCTTGAAGGTGACCCTATCTAAGACTCCTAGCAATGAGAGATATAGAACCTGAACTGGCCATCTCCTGTAACCAGGATTCCAGCTACAAAACCTTCAACCTACAATGTTCCTGCCTACAAGAAGTGCTGGGAGGCTGGAGAGATGGCACAGCAGTTAAGAGCACTGACTGTTCTTTCCAGATGTCCTGAGTTCAATTCCCAGCAACCACATGGTGGCTCACAACTGTCTCTAATAAAATCAAATACAACTGGGGCGAGGAGGGGGGAGTTAATGATGAAATGATTCCTAGAGTTATTCTGCTATACTCATAGATTAGTGCTAACTGACATCAGAGAGGCTTCAGCCAGCAACTGATGGAAACAGATGCAGAGACCCACAGAAAGGGAGGGGATTGTAGGAGCCAAAGGGGTCACGAACACCACAAGAAAACCCAACTAACCAGGGCTCATAGAGGCCTACAGAGACTGAACCAACAATCAGGGAGCCTGCATGGGCCTGACCTAGGCCTTCTGCACATATGTCACAGTAGTGTAACTTGGTCTTCTTGTGGGACTCATAACAGTGGAAGCAAGGGATGTCTCTGACTCTGTTGCCTGTTTTGGGAACCCTTTCCTCTCACTGGGTTGCCTTGTCCAGCCTGAATAGGAGAGGACTGCCTAGTCTTCCTGCAACTTGATATCCCTTGGCTGGTTGATATCCATGGGAGGGGAATGGGAGGGACTGAAGCTGGGATGTAAACAAATAAATAAACAAACAATTGGTCGAGTAGAAAAGTGGGAGAGAGTGAATGTAACCAAAACAAATCGGATGAAATCCTCAAAGAACTAATAAGAAGTTAAAAATATGGTACATTCCAGAAATGAACAATTTGTAAGTTTTAAGTAACATTACTCTTATGATAAGCATCACGAAAGTCTCTTATCATTCTGTTTCATCTGAACTGGGACATAATTCTTTTTCCAGTGCATCTACACTGTATATACTTCCTAACAGCTACACAATGAGGTATCAGATCAACTCTCCCATATTGCAGGCTTATATTGAAATAAGACATAGTATACTTAATAGATGCCCAAAAGCAAAAGAATAGTAAGACCAGAATGGAGGCTGAGGCAGGTGGACATCTGTACGTTCAAGGAAACTCTGGTCTATAGAACTATTCCTAGAACAGCCAGGTTACACACACACACATACACACACACACACACAAACCAAAACAAACAAACAACAGCAAAAAAAAGTAAAATGGTGGCAGGAGATGGAGAGATGGCTCAGCAGTAAAGAGTATTTGTGGGTTTGATTCCCAGCACCCACATGGTAGCTCACAACTGTCCAGAATTTCCATTCTGTCCTAATGCCTCATTCTGACCATTGCATGCACCAGGCACCAATGTGTGTATACACATACATGTAAGACGAAACTCATACAAATAAACAAACCCATTAAAAAAAAAAAGGAATGCCATGCAGCAGTCAATACAGAGAACCAGTACTATTTTCAAGGGTCTACTGAGGGCCTCAGAACACACTTTCTTTGGATGAGGGAAAGCAGCCACCATTGTTAGTATTCTGTCTAAACTCCACCTCCACAGTTATCTGGCAGCACCCAGGTATGCTCCTCCCCACAGTTACCTGGCAACAGCCAGGTAGGCATGCCCACTATAAAAGGGGCTGCTTGCTTCCTCCTCTCTCTCTTAACTCTCTTGCCTCTAGCTTCTCTCTGTCCCCTCGCCCTTCCCCCTCTCTCCACGTGGTCATGGCCGGCCTCCACTTCTCTCTCTCTCCTCTTTCTCCACTATCTTCTCCCATTTCTCTCCCCACCTTTGCCCTCTGCCCTGAATAAACGCCCTCCCCTTCGGAACCGTTTGGTCTGGTGTTGTCTGTTCCAAGCTCCCCGCCGAAGTCTAACAACCATCCCTGCTTAAACTCCTTAAGCACTTAGCACTGCTTAGTAAGTAGAGCACCTGTGTAACATGCACAGGGTTAAGGTCTGTTAATGCCATAATCACACACTACTCTTGTGTTAGTGTCCCCTGAGGACACAGACCACATCTTACATGCCTTCACACTTTTAGTGCTTAGAGAAGTACCTCATATTGATGGTAGGTTTCCATAAATGGCCATGAACTTATTAAATCAAGAATCGAATTCTCTAATATTTCAGTCAAAGTTTTTCCTAAATAGTAAACCTGGATTCCAATCCCAGACCTGGTGCTCAGTAGCTGCATGATTTCAGTAATACCTACTTGGAAATATTGCCATGAAAATTGAACAAAATGGCATAGTACAGGGATTAGCACACACAGTGCCTGGCAAGTAAGGAACCTCCCCACTCTGGTTTGGACTTGACAGAGACAACCAGGACAAAACAAATACAAAAATAAGTCACAGTAACAAGGCAGACTGAGCACAGAATGAGTCACTTGTTTTAATTATCGTGCAGGAAGATCAACAATGAAGAAACATAATAAGCAGAATAAACTCCATTGGTGGCATGTCCCTTAGCATACGACTCCATTGGTGGCATGTCCCTTAGCATACAAGCTTTGTGAGAATGATAGACTTCATGCATCCCAGCCCAGCAGGTCAGACCTTGGTCGACAGGACCAGGATGGTTCATTCAGACTGGAATAGAAACCAACTCATAAGGAATGTGTTTATAGGCAGGAGACGGAGGAGGGAAACCTGACTGCAGCTACACCAGTGACTGTTTTGCAATCTGGCAGAAAACACTGCAAAACCATTGGTAGAGGCTCACACCCACACAACAGCACTTACCTGTAGCCAAGAACTAGCTTAGAACAGATAATGAGCAGCTTTCTGCTCTAAGGAGAACAGTTGTCAGACCTGTATAAAATGAACATTCCTGGGACCTATGAAGAACACCAGCCAGCTTTACAGATACACCAGCCTGTGAGCTCTGGCCACAGGCATCAGCTCAATTGCTCATGCATGGATGTGGAGGAACAAATTGAAGTTCTACTCCCTGGGAACCTGCTTACCTCTGCAGAGGTGCTGGGACTCACGACACTTGCTTCCTTCGAGTGATTCACTTTAGGATGCTGTATCGCTACACGTGTAGGCACCACACTGAGACGATCTCTCTTCTGACGATCCCTGAGTAAGCTCTGGTGGTCACTAGAGGGTACAGAAGGGGTGAGGGGAGCCCCAAGGAGGCTCTGCCTCCTCCAGGATGTCCTGCCCCCGCCTAGCCTCAGAAGATGTGGTTCATTATCTTCAGGCAGAAGGTCTAAATCATTTGCAGTTTGGGATTTTTGAAAAATTATCAGCATGGAATTGGAAGAGTCTGTCCTAAAAGGCTGGCAGCTCTGGGGCTTGCTGCAGTCGGCCTGAAAGCACATCCCTTCCAGCCACCACAGAGCATGACAGGCAGAGTCCCGGCAGCAGGCAGCCCAACAGGCTTGGAAAGGCAGGCTTCCTTGAAGAAGCCGGAGGTGATTTTCTCCCTCAGTTTTCAAGCCAGCTCCATAAAGTGTCTTCCCCTGGCATCTGCTCTCATTAGCATCTAAAAACAAAGAATGAAGACATTTTAGGAAGAACCCAGACAGAGATTACTGTTCCATAAAGAGCCAAAACACCACCAGGATCTGAGGCAGTATTGAAGACAGGTTTGTTGTTTTGTTTTATTGAGACAAAATCTCACTACATACCCTGGCTGGTCTAGAACTCACTATGTACACCAGGCTGGCCTTGAACTCACAGAGTGCTGTGATTAAAGTGTGAAGTGGCATGCTTGGCTGAAGACAGGTTTTTAAGAGAGTAAGAAAACAGTGTTGAGTAGAACAGAGTGGAGGATGCATTTTTTTTTTTTCAGGATATTAGCTTATCAGAGAACTGCCTCACATTCATGGCAGAGATTCCCTTTTCAGTGAGTTTCTACCATGTAAAGCCTTTACAAAAAGTCCCAACTAATAAAACAAAATATAAAATAAAATTTAAGAAGGGCTCTTCTGATGGAAGTGCAGAGTCCCCAAACTTGACCTTCTAATTTGCTTCCAAGGTGTATGTCAGGGACAGTGGACAAAGAGACCAGAAGTGTAGGAAGATGAACAAGCTGCAACACTTTCCCACTGAACTAATAGCAACACAAGCTGAGTGCTCCTGACCGCATGCAAGTCACATATATGGTTATTTTCTCATGAGTCGTTTGCCAGTCACATGATTTTGCATCAACCAAAGTAGTGATGAAAATTACCAAAAATTATAATCAAGAGAGAAATTATCCTAACTATATTTTCTGAATGACAATTCATACCATACTGCATAAGTACAAGGAAACACACAATGGTGTGATTCCTACTGTAGGTAATCTAGATAATCACATGACCCCAGATTCTCAGTTGATCTATCTCAGGCATGGAATTGATCCTCTTCATCATCACCTCCATCAAAGCCAGCTAGAAATGGAAGTTGTTTAACTCTGTCTTAGGGTTTCTATTGGGATGGAACACTCTGACAAAAAGCAGCTTGGGAAGGAAAGGGTTTATTTCACTCACAGTCCCACATAACAGTAACAGTCCATTACCAAAGCAGGAAGGCAGGAACTCAAGCACACAGGGACCTGGAGGCAGGAGCTGATGCAGAGGCCATGGAGGGGTGCTGCTCACTGGCTTCCTCAGCCTGCTTTCTGTGTTTTAAAGCTTTTTTTTTAAGATTTTATTTATTTTGTGTATATGAGTACACTGTAGCTGTCTTCAGGCACACCAGAAGAGGGCTTCAGATCCCATTACAGATAGTTGTGAACTACAATGTGGTTGCTGGGATTTGAACTCAGGACCTCTAGAAGGGCAATCGGTGCTCTTAACCACTGAGCCATCTCTGCAGCCTCCAGCCTGCTTTCTTTATAGAGCCCAAGACCACCAGTTCAGAAGTATCTTCATCCATCATAGCCTGAGCCCTCCCCCATGAATTATTCACTAAGAAGATGTCCTATAGGCTTGCCTGTCCCAGCCCAATCTTAAGATGAATTTCTCAGTTAAGCTTTCCTCCTCTAGAATGTGTCAAGTTGATATAAAACTAGCCAGGTCCGCCCTCCAACCCACTCACCCCGCCCCAAGTGCTGGAGAGTAAACAGAGCCACAGACATGTGTGTGTAAGTACTCTACCACTGGGCTACCTCTTCATCCACTTTTAATCTTTTACTTGGAGGTACAGTCTCACTAAGGGGTTCAGGGTGGCTCTGAAGTCACTGTGCCCCAGGCAGACACTGAACTTGAACCCTCCTCTCAGTCTCCCTAACAACTGGATTACAGACCTTGCTGGTTTTCCTGAAATTTACAATGCAGGCAAGGATAGCCTTGAGCTCCTGATCCTCCTGCCTCCACCTCTGAAGTGCCAGGGTTGCTTGTAATCATGCACTACAATGACCAACTGAGAGCACCTCTTTAAACTTCCTATTGACCCACATCAGGGTGCTCTCTCCCATTGACTTAATCCTGTCCCTGAAATTATAACATAGAAAATATATTTTAGAGCTGAGAGATGGCTAGGTAGTTAAGCGTGGGCCACACAACAGGAGGACCAGATTTTGGATCCTAAGAACTCAAGTAAATGTCAGGAAGATGTGCCTTAGAAGGCAGAGACAGGAGATGCCCAGAACAACCCAGCAAGCAGTATCTATGAGCTCTCAGGTTGACTGAGACCTGCTTCCATTGAGAGCATTGGGAGAGTGATGGAGGATGATTCCTGATTCCAACCTCAGGCCTTCACGTATACTTCTGCTCAAACACTTGCAAGCATACATACATACATGCATGCTGCACACACATAATAACGGAAAAAAGAAAATGTAGATGTGTATATGTGCATGCATGTGTGTAGATTTGAATTATAGACAGAAACCGTGCAATAGAATCAAAGTGTTGAGGAAATGAATGAATACATCTGTATATACACATAACTGAAAACACTCTCTAAGTAAAGCAACAACCTGTTAATTGGCCAAAACCAATCTGACTCCCACGAAATATTCACTAAATATCCAACAGACTAAATGTGGACACTAATCAACTGGGAAATAAAAAGAAGATAAAGGCAGACTTCTAGACTACTGAGTCAGAAGTTCTATGTATGGAAGCCAGTCTGCCATTATTCTTGGAAAAATGAGAGCTACATTGGCACCAACCTCACACCAGACAAGGCAATTTAGATAATCAGAGTAAACAGAACTTCCCTAAGAAAAGACAAGGACATAACAAAGCCAAAATAAAAAAGAAGCCACTGAAATACCCTTTGTGTCTTTATCCACCTCTCCACAGTCATTCACAGCATGAGGCTTGGTAAGAGCCATGTCTAACAGTCATAGTGTGAGCAATAAACTGTGGCTTGGTGATGTATAAACATTGGTAAAAGCCAGGCATGGTGGCATGACACCTTTATTTTTTATTTTATTTTTTGTTGGTTTGTTTCAAGACATGGTTTCTCAGTGGGATTATCAGACTGGGATTAAAGATATGTGCTGCATGCTCACGCGTGCATGCGTGCGCGCGCACACACACACACACAGCCAGAGCTACACAGTAAGATGCTGTCTTAATAAGTAAATAAGTCAGTAAATATTGCTAGCTACCTTTGTATCATCAAAACAACTCTGAAATAGTCCAAGACAGCAAGGATGTGGAAAGTGTTCAGATCTTTTGCTCCTTTATTAATCACCAGAGACATCGTCAAATAATCACCAGAGACATCGTCATGTCAAGACTGATGAAAGGTGACAGGCATGTCGTGATTCCATGAACAAGCCATCCCACTGTCATCTCTAAATCACTCTCTAAGATTCACAGGCGAGGGGGCTGGAGAGGTGGCTCAGTGGTTAAGAGCACTGACTGCTCTTCCAGAGGTCCTGAGTTAAAATCCCAGCAACCACATGGTGGCTCACAACCATCCGTAATGAGATTGGATCCCCTCTGCTGGTGTGGCTGAAGACAGCTACAGTGTACTCATAAATAAAATAAATAAATAAATTTTTAAAAATTGTAAGAATTAGTATTAAAAAAAAGATTCACAGGCGAGCAGCTGTAGAGATGAGAGGCAATGGACATATATGTGATAAAGCCTTTAGCATCTCTCCATGACAAGAGTCATGAATTCTAAACTTACCTGGCCTTGGAGACTTTGAAGTCACCAGTTCTCCACTGTGAGGTCCTGATCCCTAAAGTCACCGAGTATCACTCTGACAGCACGCATCTCTGGGATCAGGTTCAAGTATTTTCTGTTGCCCTCAGTTCACGGAATCATCCCAGCACAGAGACATCATAACTGGCATTCATGTAAAGAATCCAGTATCCATTGCCAGACAAACCAGCCTCAGCCAACTGCTAAGCTCAGAAGAATATGTCTGAGCGGCACATAAGGAAAAAAAGAATCCTCTGTGAAAGGGTGAGAGCACTCTGTCTACCTGCCCAACTCTTAGAGACATGAGGCTCTGACAGACAGTCTCTTCTTAAGGAGCTACCGAGGCTCGGAGAGAGAAGCTACCACAGGTAATATCTGTATAAGAAAAGATTCAAGACAACAAGAGGAATCTGAATGAGGGGACCAGAGTCGCCAGCATACCGACATGGCACTTATGTCAACAGGGAAAGATGATTAGAACTAAGTAGAGTAGCTGCATCCAGCTTTCAAAAGAGAAAACACCAACATTTGGAGGGATCACAAAAGAAAGTCTGGCACACACAGCCACTCAAGAAAAATGAAGTTAAATGGTTCAAAATATGAAGCAGCAAAAGGAGATCTCTGAGGAGCTCAGGGAATCGTAGGAAGACTGTTGACATAGAGCTGGTCCTTCCAAAAGCACAAGCTGAAGCCTTTGAAGACAGAGACAGCAGTGAGACACTGGACTGCCAGACAGAGTCACCCATTACCAGGAAGAAAGTTCCTTCAATTATGACATGACCAGTCAAAACTGAGGCTGTTGGCAGGTGTAGGGGCTGGGATCCGGGGGTCTGGATAAGAAATATTGGTGTAATGCTTGAATCTGAGAGGGCATTTCTTTTTGTGTGCATGACAGATGATCACTAACCTGTGGACACTACTCCAGTGATTCACCAATGTAAGGAAGTCTCTGGGGCTGGAGAAATGGCTCTGCAATTACAATTATGTGCTGCTCTTGCGAACGATGAGAGTTCAATGCCTAGTACCCACATGGTAGCTGACACCTGTTTGTGACTCCGGTTCCACGGGATCAAAGAGCCTCTCAGGACTGCACTCAAGTGTACCAACCCATACTCAGACAGACAGACAGATACAGACACAGATACACACACAGATACACACACACACACACACACACACACACACGCGCGCGCACGCGCACGCGCACGCGCACGCGCACACACATTAAAATAAAATCTTTTAAAAATAACCTCTGGGGCCTGGCTGGTGTGTTTTTGATTTGTGTGTGCACAGGAGCCCAAGTACACAGAGGAGGTCAGAAGACAACTTGCTGGAGTCGGTTCTCTTCTTCCACTATATGGTTCATAGGAATGGAACTCAAGTCATCAGTTG